GAGGCCAGCAGCAGCAGGTCTCATGTCTTCCTCACAGCATGCCCCGCCCCTGCCACCCCCGCTGCTGCTGGCCCCACCCCCGCTGCCGCTGGCCTCACCCCCGCTGCCGCTGGCCCATACCCCGATACCACTATGCTTGTGTGAATTCGTGCAGCATTGGTGCGCATTTCGCTACCTAACCCTTGACTGGGGGTGCTCTGACGCCAATTGTTTTGTTTTGAGCCAGGAGAGCGGCAGTGAGGGAGGAGGGAGTGAAGGCAACGTCGACCGCGTATGTTGGCCGTCCTGTTGTCGCTGCTGCCACCGCCGCTGCGGTAGCGGTGAAGCCCGGTGGTGGCGGCGCTTTGGTTCTCCTCTTGGGTTGCATTAACGTGGTCAAGTTGTAATATGCCCGCCGGATCCGCCATGAGGCTGCTGCCGTCACCGCTGCCGCTGCCGTCACCGCTGCCTCTGCCATCACCGCTGCCTCTGCCGTCACCGCTGCCTCTGCCGCTTGGGGAGGGGGGCAGGTACGATGGGAACTGCATGTTCAGCGAAGTTACCAGATGCAGGGATCCAGCGAGCCCGATGAATTGCTGCTGCTGTTGATAGTGCTGGTGCTGGTGCAGGTGTGCAGCTGCTCGTGGCACAGGTTCCCGATACACGTCCGGATCCAGATGTGACACGCTGCACTGAATAAACCTCTTCACACTACGGCTGCAAAACGCGGGGGAGCGTGCTGAGGCGTCGTCGTCAGGGCAATGTGGGCTCAAAGTGGTTGGGATGATATCAGAAGCTCTACTGTCGGGGTCCTTATGGCCATCGCGCCATTGCACCTCATCCATGCGGTGCCGCCTTCACCTCTCCGTTCTTTGCTCGCCATACGGAGCATCTAACGGTATCGCTGCTGTCACTATGCTGGTCAGGTTCCCGTGGTTTGCTTTGATGGCTGTAGGGGATGTGATAGCTGTAGGGGATGGGGCAGTGACGGCGGCGACTGAAGTCGCGGCAGTGGGTTGACATAAGCACGGGGCTGCGGGAGGCATACTCGGGCTGCGGTCTGGAAGATTGTAATCGATGGCCGTGGTGGCGGCGGCGGTGATGTCACCATCAACAGCCTTCTTAGAGATTTTGACTATCTTAAGCGCTGCCTCAATGATGTGCCTTATAGTTGCCGCCTGTGGCTCGTGGCAAGATATAGAAGCACAGCATCAACAGCAACAGCAGTAACTAACGGAAACAGTTACAAATCCCACATCGCAGGAGTTAAGTAAAAAGCTGCCGAAAGACAATTGCAGCTAAGTGTCTTTCGGTCGGGCGTGTTATCACACGAAAAAATAGTATAATGTCTGTTCTGGGACAGCTCCGACTAACCCCCAACTAACTCGTGTACGGCACCTCAACCCCCTCAGCCGTACAGGAGTTCGTTGTGGGAGTCGGCAGCTGTGCGAGTGGGAGCTGGTAGTTGTACGATAGCCCGGCCGGGAAGCTACCTGACTGTAGTGACGCACACGGGCAGTTGACACTAGTCAGCAGGCGCGCGAGTGGGAGCGGGTAGTTGAGCATGCAGGCGTGTGGGAAGCTGCGGGGTACAGCGGAGCTCAGCAGGGGCTGGCGGTTGGTGCGGCGCGCGAATGAGAGTGCGCTGTTGGGTGCGCGCCGTTTGGGAAGCTGCGTGTGAGCTGCGTGTAAACTCAGAGAGACACATGGGGCTAACCCTGTTTCCATCAGGTGCCTCTGAGCGCACGCGGAATGCGGCGGAATGCGGTGGAATGCGGTGGAATGTGGCGGAATGCGGCGGAATGTGGTGGAATGCGGCGGAATGCGGAATGCGGCGGAATGCGGTGGAATGGGCGGAATGCGGCGGAATGCGGTGGAATGGGCGGAATGCGGAATGCGGCGGATTGTGGCGGAATGCGGCGGAATGCGGAATGCGGCGGAATGCGGCGGAATGCGGAATGCAGCGGAATGCGGCGGAATGCGGCGGAGTGCATGGGAGGGTGGCGCCTGACACTCCAAGAAGCCGTGGTGCGGAAGACTGTCCTTTTGTGCAGCAATCCTGTTGTAAAAGCCAATGCACTGCTTCGCAAAAAAGTAATGGAGGGATAATTATGCTAGCTCCGCATCATCCGCAAACAGCAGCCGGTGTGCGGGGCGTGATGTGCCCGTGGTCTGCCTCATGTAAATCACTTGTAGCTTAACGGCCTCGTCTCGCCAGCATGCTTCAAACAGACCGCTAGATTGTTGCTATCACGCTGGTGTGCTGGGAGCCCGCCGTCCAGCATTTCTGTTAACACGTCTGGGCCCCACACCTCGCATCCGTATTTCCATGAGCTGTCTCTGGGTGCACACGGTTTGACACGGTTGACACGGGGAACCCCCGTGGGGTGGCGCCCCCGGCGCCGCCCCGCGTGTGAGTTCGTGTGAGGATGCGGATGAGTGCGACCTAGATGCGGAGGAAACATGTCCGGTTGCGCGGTGCGCTCTGCACGTTTGGCCCCTTCCCCCCCCCCCCAGGCTGGTGGCGATTGCATCAGAGCACACACGGTTTCACACGGCTGCCAGAGGGAGGGATCGCTGGGGCGGCGGCAAGGGGCTGGAAGAAGCAGCGGAGCGCGAAAGGACTTGCTGGAGTGCATGAGAGTCCCATGGGGGGGGGACGTGCGGGCGGGGCGCAGGGGAACTCGGCGGAAACTCGGCGGAAACTGATGGGGAATTCGTGCAAAACTCAGGCGAAACTGGGGAGTAATTACAGCAAAACTCGGGAGTCGCACCAGACTACATCAGCGTATAAGTAACCTGCATTTAATACATTTTGCGAGATATATAAACAGATGCATCAGGTTAGTTTCATCGCTGTCGGTCCTTCACAGGCAGCCATTCCGCTTTAGGGAACCCTTTGAATTTTACTAGGAAATGTAGCTTGCCACCAACGTATTTGCGACACCTCGAAGTGTGTTTCGCCACGCACCTGCTCATGCTTGCCCTTCCTGCTGTTGCCGCCACGCTTACCCCCCGCAGGCTTCTTTGGTGGCCTGCTGCTGAATGGTCGCAAGAGTGCGTGCAACACGCCGCACCTGGCGCTGCTCCTGCGTGGCCTCTGCCTGTCGCTTCGCCCCACCTGCCACCCTGTCTGTCACCTCCTGCACCAACTGCATCTCTGACGGGCGGTGCAGGTGCTGCTTGCCCTCCACAGTGAAGTGATAGCCCTCCTGTCGTGTCACGGTGTAGATCTGCTGCGAGTATGTGGCCTTCTCCTTGTCAAACAGCCCCTTGCCCTCCAGCAATTGCATGTGGTCACTTGAATTCTGGTGCGCATGTGCACATGTGTGCACACTCCAACCCGGACATGTGTCGACATGTCGACAGTGTGTGGTGCATACAAGGAGCTGTTAAAGGGAGCCATGTGGTGACGCGGTGTTTATAGATTCGATGTGCTGCAAGCCCAACCCCGAGATACACGCGGTGGGATGGGAAGTAGGGGGGCGATTTCACGAAATCTGGTAGCACAGTGAAAATCCTGACCACCTAACACCACGATCCTTTCACGAAAATGGTGCACGCCGTGAAAATCTCAGGGCCCCAAAATAACATTTCACGAATTCTGATATCACGAATCACGTGTAGCAGTACGGTACCCTGTTGGCCCACTATCCAGTTGCAGAGGCCGTGGGAACGCATGTCATGCTGAAATCCAGTTGAGGTGGGTATTACGGATTTCACAGGCAGACATTGAATGTTTGGCAGGCCGGCAGCACCGCACTACAGCCCAACAATCGTACAGCTAACATGGAGCACAACCCAGCACAAGTGCAGCCATCCACAGACCACCAGCACTTCATATTTTTTACCAGTATATGCTTCATTCGGCTACAGAGCTGAAACACGGACGGATACCCCACCCCAATGCAAAAGCTGCAACGGCAAGGCCACTAATACATTACCGACTTTAGTGCAGCATCAGGGGGGGCGGAGGAGGGCCTCCTAATCATGTTGTCCATTCAGGTCTTTGATGCCAAAATCTAGTCCGCTGGAACACATGCCAACCAGCAACATGCCGCACCGCAAGGATGTTCGTGCGACACCACACCACGGCCTCATCATCACGGCTCCCTGCTCCATCCCGCCAGCAACAAACATACCAGTCACCTGCAGCCCTTATAGGTGCAGGCGCCGCACGGCCTTGGTAAGCAACCATGATTCCACCCTTGGTGGTGCCTAGCCACCCTGCCACCAGGCCCGCACACCAAGCACCACCAGCAGCGCCGCCACATGGTTCCGCGCGCGGCTGCAGCTACTGCCCCGCCGCCACAGCCTAGTCATACAGCTCTGTGCGCAGCAGTCGCTGCTGGCGGCTGCACGTTGCCGCTGCCAGCCAGCCTCCTGCCACGTCCTGCATGGCGGCCAGCAAGCACCGCACCATGAGGCTGTGCTGCACGGAGAGTTTGCCACCCAGCTCGGCTGCAACTGCGGCAAGAGAATGGCAAGCTCCTACGACAATGCCTACGGTGCAGCGGGAGCACTGCTCATGCTCATGACCTCCGACAACTCCGGCTCCTGCAGCTCTGCAGTTTGAAGCCAGGTGAGGACGTTTTCTATGGAGCGATAGTCCTGGAGCTGGCAGCCCTTCACCCCCGCACACTGCAGCTGTGACTTCAGCACAGATGTCTTGCGGTCTTTCTCCGACTGTGTGTTGCAGTGGAGCCGTCATGCCACAAGAGCACCTTTGAAACTAGGAATGGCAGAACTGACTCCATCTTGCTGACCTTCCTGTGAAGGTCCGCCAGCGTCACTGTGTGTGGGGGGGAGGGGTCACGGCAAGGGTAAGCCATGCACTCACTCTCTCTTTGACTCTCGCCAAGCCCTTAGCCCACCCTCACTTGCACCACGTGATCCAGCCAACTTGGCAGCTGGACTTGTCAGTAAGTACGGCCAGTCGCCCAGTTGAAATGCATGCAGGATCTTATTAATGCAACCAACACGGGAACGAAGGGGTACAGAGCAGCAGCAGAAAGGGACGGACAGAGCAACTTCCAGCTGACTTGCAGTACAGCATAGGCGCCGGGGCCCAGGCCCGCACCACAGCCCATGCACCCACCATGCCATGCCCGAGCGAGCGCCCCACCCACCCACCCCAACCTGCCTACAGCTGGCGTGCTCTATGCGAGCTCCCCTGGGGCGGGTGTTGGGTGGGTGCTGGGGCCAGGCCCACCACCCGCCAGCCGCCCCTTGCCGCCTCTTTACAGCTCCCAGCATGCACCCAACACGAGTGGGTGCAACCAGCTCACCCCGCAGCCCCCAGCAACGACCCACCCGCCCTACCGCGAGACGGCCTCACTGCTGCCCTTCCGATATAGAGACCAGCACCCCCGGCAATGGCCTCCGCACCCCTGACAAAGGCCCGCTTCTTTTCTTGCTTCCGTAGCCTCGAATTGGCCTCACCCATCTTAATGCCATAAGCGTTCAGCCAAACCCCAATCGTTACCCCTGGGGATCGGTTCCCTTCCCACAAGCGCCAGGCCTAGAGGCCCTGCAATGCAGATGGGGTCTCACCGTCAGCTGCAGTGCTCCTGGGGCCTGGCCCTGCCGCCGCGCCTGCATGACGAGAACGTCACATGTATGCAGGTCAGGATTATTGCACATCAAGCTGTATCCTGAAGAGACAGAGGCGGTGGTTGGGTGCGATGGGGCTGGTGCGCTCTGAACTCAGAACTACAAATGTGCCATTGCTCACCCTACAGCCTCTTGAAATGATCACCAGCAGCAGCTCTGTTCACGATAGCTCAAACCCTTCCGTACTACACCACCGCGGGACACTAGAGCCGGAGTCTTAGGTCAGGTCAAGCCTGGGCTAGCACAACCAACTCACCGGCTCCAGCCATGCTCCCCGCACCGAGGCCATGATGGCTTGGAACAGCTTTTTGGAACAGCCAATACCGACACCGGCGTTTTGGGTGATATGCTGCTCCTTACAAGGACTGCTCGTAGCATGCTCGGTTGAATGCTCAGTAGCGTGCGAGTTTACCTGTCATAATGTTTGTTTGCATATCCCTCCAAGTGAGAGGGCTTGGACCTATGCTGATGTTCGTTACAAGAAGTGAACTGAGGACTGATGCTAGAGGAGTGTAATGGTTCACAAGGAAAAAACGATAATAACGATTTACAGGGCAAAAAAATGCAAAGTGTCACTTCCCACAGCGTTTCAGCCAAGGACAGTGCCCCCGTAAAGGTTTTGCAGGGGTTACGGGGGCCCCCCTTAGGTTTTCGGCCAGTACAGGAGCCTGGTACGGGGGCCCCTCCGTAAGGAAAATTTGGGAGGTACAGGGGAGCCCGCAAGTTGTGGTCAGTGTCAAACCCCGCCCCTCAGCTCCGACCAACTAACAACCTCCCCCGATGCGTGATGCCCCACTCTACTGCCGGTTACCAAGAAACAGTGTGCCAAAGCCCACCATACAGCCTCGTGGTAATGCTCACCAGCAGCAGCCGGCAGCGAGCCTGCAGGGGGAGGGTAGCACAACGGATTTCAGCTTCAAGGTCACGAACAAAGAAACCCAACATGCTTTGAGAATTTTCATCGGTCAGACAGGCAATCGGTTGCCATTGGGACCACAGCAGTGCCCACAGCGGCAGAGGTAGATCCTGGTGATGGCCAGCCTACTCTGCCGCACTCTTCACGGTAGCTCAATATGTCCCAATGTGTACCAAACTGAGGACTCTTCATCCCAGCAACGCACCTTGGGCCTTCCGCCTCACGAAGGCGACAATTGCTGAATCGCCGTCTGTGTCCAGGATCCTCCACTGGCTCAGTTGGTCATCAGTTTGCTCCCCGATGAAGAACAGCAGGTCTCCTCGTTCTGGGCCGCTGACCACTCTTCGAACGGCGTCCTCAGCTGCCGTCCTGGATACCATTCCCGACCTTGCCGGAGCTCCAGGATAGGCGCAACGCGGAGCACGATATCGAGGCTATTGAATATTGCTTTCTAGTAGCACGCGCGTGGGTGAGGTGAGATTCTGCCTGCACCTGCTATTTC